AAATCTCCAGGACCGGATGGCATTCATCCAAGGGTTCTAAAAGAACTCAAATGAGAAATTGCTGAACTATTATCTGTGGTTTGTAACCTATCCTTTAAATCGGCTTCCATACCTAATGACTGGAAGGTAGCCAACGTGACGCCAATATTTAAAAAGGGCTCTAGAGGTGATCCTGGCAATTACAGACAAGTAAGTCTAACTTCAGTACCAGGCAAATTAGTCAACACTGCGACCTGAGGGCAACCTGCGACCTGAGGATCCCCATGTCTCCTTCCTCCTCAACGCATGCGCCTCTCACGCACTGGTGCACCGGAGCCCCACACGTCCTACTCCTTCCCCTCCTCCCAGCACTTTTAGGAGCACCACGAATCGCCTGATTTGTGCTCTGTACCCCCTTCCACGCCCCCCTCCATGGGCTGGAACACGGCGCATCAGCTGTTGGCAGCATTCCAGCTGAGGGAGGGAGGGGGAGCAGCAGGAAGTGCGGGGCTCCGGTGCCTCGGTACGTCAGAGGTGTGTGGGGAGAGGGGCAGGTGGGGTCTCCGCAAGGCTGCCGGAGGAACCCTAGGGGGCCATAATCTGCTCCGGCCCCCTGAGAGGAAGGAGGGGCTCTCTTGCAGCCCACTCACTATCCTTGCCCATCGCTGCTTTGCGCTGTAGAGATCCTGTCTGTGCATCAGCCAAGACAGAGGCTGTGACATTTGGAGCCAGCTAATAACCCCCTGGGTCATGGGTTAGTGCATCAAAATCATGAATGGGACATTTACCATTCAGGTCTGAAAACGTCTCTCATTTAAGAACACAGGGATGGCCAGACTGGGTCAGACCAGCGACCCGCATGCCCCAAAACCTGCTTTCATCAGGGGCTGGCACTAGACGCTTCGGAAGGTCCCGTCCGATGTTCCTGCTGTTTTTATATCCCAGTCTAATCCAGGCATAGCAACCTTTTTACGCACAAGGTCACTTTCTGAATTTCTGTGCAATCCGAGATCTACCGCAATCCCAAATACCTTGGCCCCGCCTCCTTCATGCCTCTTCTCCCAACTGCCCTGCCCCTGCTCACTCCATCCTCCCTCCGCTCCCCGCTGCCGCTCATCAAGGAAGGGTAGAGGGTTGGGGCACAGACTTTAACCCTTGTTGGCAAGGGTAGCAGTGGCCCATGGGTATGAGAAAAGCTCTGCAGGCCCCCCCGTGGCAGAAAAGGAAAAGCAAGTGGTGGGGTGGGTAGGTAAAGTTGGTGAGTGCTGATCCTGTGAAGTGGCTCCGATGATACTGGGTGGACAGAGTCTGTTCTGCCCATTTTGCAGATGGGGAACTGAGGCACGGAGTCCAAAGCTGTAATTTGGGTACCGCATTTCCATTGGAGACCTCCAGGACCTGCTTTGTCAGAGTCCTTCTCTTTCTGCAGCCAAGCACTGCTCACAGCTGGAAGCACTCAGCACCTCTGCGAAGTAGGCCCAGAAAATGAGCCCCTTGAAAAGTGGGATAAGTGACTTGCCCAGCATCAGACCAAAAATCTGTGGCAGAGGCAGGGAGACAATCCAGTTCCCCAAAGCAGCCCTCAGCTGTCTTAACCAGAGAAGCCGGACTTGTAGGAGCAGCGGTGGCCCCCTGAGGTGTGGGTAATTGAGGGTGAACTTAGGGCACTCTGGTGAATGCAGGTGGGCCCAGTGCTGCACAACAGAAACTGCTCTTGGTGGGAGGATGGCGGGGAGGCATCATGCTTCAGCACTGTCATTCATGTTAAAATTTGACACTTGTAATCCTGGCAATTACAGACCGGTAAGTCTAACTTCAGTACCGGGCAAATTAATCAACACAATAGTAAAGAATAAAATTGTGAAGCATGTAGAAGAACATAATTTGTTGGACAAAAGTCAACATGGTTTCAGTAAAGGGAAATCCTGTCTTACTAATCTGTTAGAATTCTTTGAAGGGGTTAACAAACATGCAGACAAGGGGGATCCAGTAGATATAGTATACTTAGATTTTCAGAAAGCCTTTGACAAGGTCCCTCACCAAAGGCTCTTGTGTAAATGACATTGCCATGGGATAAGAGGGAAGGTCCTTTCTTGGACTGAGAACTGGTTAAAAGACAGGAAACAAAGGGTAGGAATAAATGGTAAATTTTCAGATTGGAGAGGGGTAACTAGTGGTGTAGCCCAAGGGTCAGTCCTGGGACCAATCCTTTTCAACTTATTCATAAATGATCTGGAGAAAGGGGTAAGCAGTGAGGTAGTAAAGTTTGCAGATGATACAAAACTGTTTAGGATAGTCAAGACAGAAGCAGACTGTGAGGGACTCCAAGAAGATCTCACCAAACTGAGTGATTGGGCAACAAAATGGCAAATGAAATTTAATGTGGATAAGTGTAAAGTAATGCACATCGGGAAAAATAACCCCAACTACACGTACAGTATGATGGGGGCTAATTTGGCTACGACAAATCAGAAAAGATCTTGGATTTATCGTGGACAGTTCTCTGAAAACTTCCACACAGTGTGCAGCGGCGGTCAAAAAGGCAAATAGGATGCTAGGAATTATTAGGAAAGGGATAGAAAATAAGACCCAGAACATCTTACTGCCCCTGTATAAAACTATGGTACGCCCACATCTTGAATACTGTGTACAGATGTGGTCTCCTCACCTCAAAAAAGATATTTTGGCCTTGGAAAGGGTTCAGAAAAGGGCAACTAAAATGATTAGGGGTTTGGAACGGGTCCCATATGAGGAGAGGCTAAAGAGACTGGGACTTTTCAGTTTAGAAAAGAGGAGACTGAGGGGGGATATGATAGAGGTCTATAAAATCATGAGTGGTGTGGAGAGGGCTGATAAAGAAAAGTTATTTATTAGTTCCCATAATAGAAGAACTAGAGGACACCAAATGAAATTAATGGGTAGCAGGTTTAAAACTAATAAAAGGAAGTTCTTCTTCACACAGCGTGTTGTCAACCTGTGGAACTCCTTGCCAGAGGAGGCGGTGAAGGCTAGGACTATAATAGAGTTTAAAGAGAAGCTGGATAAATTCATGGAGGTTAGGTCCATAAAAGGCTATTAGCCAGGGGATAAAATGGTGTCCTTGGCCTCTGTTTGTCAGAGGCTGGAGAGGGATGGCAGGAGACAAATCGCTTGATCATTGTCTTCAGTCCACCGTCTCTGGGGCATCTGGTGCTGGCCAGTGTCGGCAGACAGGATACTGGCTAGATGGACCTTATTCATCAATATCTAAACAGAAGAACAGGGAATCGATCATTAATCACAGTGACACTTACAGGGACAAACCGGGATCAGAGGCCCATTGTGCCAGACATGGAGTAAAGGGGGCAAAGGACTCGCCAGGCCCATGGACAAGATGGAGATAGTGACATGGAGACAATTTTCTCTCCCCACATCTCCTTGCCCATTACTGCAGGGCCACGTGCTCAGAGGCAGGGCACCGATGGGAGCGGAGGCTGCTCAGCTGTCCCTCAGCACGTCTGTGCCCTGGGTCTCCATCCAAATGGCCCATTGGTGCGCCTGGTGCACCCTGTTGCCCAGATTTCCCGTGTCCGTCACAAGCTTTAGTTAATTCCTTACAGCCCCCACCACCCCGCCCCCCAGTCCTGCGCCAGCCCCAGCCCGGTGTGTCAGAGCAGGGCAAAGCCCCAGACCCAGCCCGGCTGATGGAAAACCATTGTTGTTTCCGGGGAGACAATGGAGCAGCAGCCCCGGGGGCCTGGTCCCAGTGACTCTGTGCCCTTCACTCTGGGTGTGGATCTGGCTCTGCACAAGCCACCCCGACGTGTGTTGGGCACGGGGCAATGAGCCACAAAGGGCTTTGGGGCCCGGTCATGGGCATCCCTGAGAGCAAAGGCTGCGCGGAGACGGCCGTGGTCCCAGGGGTGCTGGCTCTCACCAGGCCCAGGAGGGCACCTGACACAGAGCCGGCCCGAGGTGCAGATCTGTGTGGGGAGAGTTTTCTGGAGAAAACTGCACATCAGGGTCATCTTCAGATTCAGATGAAAATCTTTCTTGAGATAATGTCACCTCTGATGTTAACATAGTAGGAGAATCAGACCGAGAAATGGTGAATTGAAAGCGGAGGAGACTAGTACTCCGGCAGTGTCAAGGCATACGGCATTCGGGCCGCAGGGCGGGGGGACTTGGAAACATTCATTGATCTCTGGACAGGAGCAAACAGAACCGGAGTCACTCAGTGGCCCAGGGAAGTGCTTGTGTTGCCCCCAGTGGGTGGGTCTTACAGGTCCCCCTATGGGCCCGTGGGCAGGAGGACACAGAGCGCTCCTGCCTTCCCCAGTGGTGGGCAACCTGCGACCTGAGGATCCCCATGTCTCCTTCCTCCTCAACGCACGCGCCTCTCACGCACTGGGGCACCGGAGCCCCACACGTCCTACTCCTTCCCCCCCTCCCAGCACTTTTAGGAGCACCACGAATCGCCTGATTTGTGCTCCGTACCCCCTCCCACGCCCCCCTCCATGGGCTGGAACACGGCGCATCAGCTGTTGGCAGCATTCCAGCTCTGGGAGGGAGGGGGAGCAGCAGGAAGTGCGGGGCTCCGGTGCCTCAGTATGTCAGAGGTGTGTGAGGAGAGGGGCCCTCAGCTGCCTTACCTGGAGGCCCATCCTTTCTCTTCCGGAAAACCCCTGCCTCGTTCTCTACAGGCCTTCCGACTCCTGCAGCACATACAGGTCACAAGCTCCCTCACTACCCAGCCTTTATTATGCCCAGTGCAGATCTAACCTGTGCACTGAAAGAGGCAGGAGACCAGTGGGAAAAAGAGGCTGTGATCACATAAGGGAAGCCGGGGGCATAACTCACATGGGGGCAGAGACGCTTGGATCTGGCATTTCCTAACTTCGGAGTGCTTGACTTGCAACCGTTAGCACAGTGACCCCCAAAGTGTGGGGCATGCCCTTCCTCTATGGGGGCATAGAGGAATTTTTGGGGGGAGTATGACAGTGCCAGGGACACCCCCACAGATGCCCCTTGTGTGACCAGGGCCTAGCAATGGCTCATTGCACCTGTTCAGTGGGAAACGCTGAAGGAACCGGCGCTGGTCATGGAATTAAAAGGCAGCTCTGTTTAGCACCCTGCTGAGCACCCGGCTTTCTGGCAAGTAGAGGAAGGGGGAGGCAGACACAACACAAGGGAGCAGAATAAAATGGAACATCAGAAAGAGGAAAATGCAGGGAAAGGGGAGGAGGAAATGGGATGCAAAGTTCTTTGCCTGCTCAAAGCCCCTTCCAGCTGCAGGACACAGGGGTTCGGTTCTGGAGATTTTGCCCAGGTTTCCAGGCATTAACTTACCCGCGCTGGAGAAATGAGTCTCCTTGAGGCAGATGAGCCAGCAAAAGCCTGAAAGAGGAGAAACAGGCAAGGATAGAATCGTAGAATCCCAGAACTGGAAGGGACCACGCGAGATCATCAAGTCCAGTCCCCTGCCCTCATGGCAGGACCAAGCACCGTCTAGAATCTGATAGATGTTTGTCCAACCTGCTCTTAACTATCTCCAGGGATGGAGATTCCACAACCTCCCTAGGCAATTTATTCCAGTGTTTAACCACCCTGACAGGGAGGTAGAATGGCCCGATGGCACTGGGCTTTATTGCAGGTACTGTGTTGGAGGCTGTGTGGTCTAGTGGGCAGAGTGCTGGGCAGGGGCAAATGAGGGATTTATTTCTGGCTCTGCTGGTTGAACTCAGCCAAATCACAGCTCCCCGGCCCATGTCCCACAAGCAGACTCTGTGTCCACTCAGCTGGGTTCAGAGACCTCTGTAGTTCTTGCTGAGCAAGGGGCCCGTGAGTCACCTCTGGGCTGAGGAGCAGCAGCAGCAGAGCCAGGAACATCAGGGCAGCAAGCCCCTGGGGGAGCAGCTCCTGGCAGCTGGGCTCCATGGGGAGGGGCGGCTCTGTGGATATATAATTATCACTCTCATATAACTTTGTATTAAGATTTTGTCCTTTTAGATGTATCTTTAAGTGTTCGTATAGAATCTCTGTAACATTTCTTTAGTTAGTGTTAGTCTTTATAGTGCTACATAGTCCTGTATTTTGTTTCAGCTACACCAGACTAACACGGCTACATTTCTATCACATTTCTCCTGTAACTTTGTATTAAGAGAAACTTTCCTTGTAAGAAAAAAAATGTCTTTTGAGCTCTCTCCTTTCCTTGATGGTCCTGTTGAAATGAATGAGGTGTGAATGGGGAATGAAAGGGGGCACCTTCAGCAGCAGTTGCCAGGGTGGAGAAGGTCTGGGAGCCAGATCCAAGCCAATACCTGCAAAGTGAGCTCATTAAGAAGACTGGACAGACAGACACCTGCCCTTGGAAGGACTCTCTTTGAAGCAGCATTAAGAAAGGCGAGGTGATGACTAATTGGCTGCATGAGAGGGATAAAAAGGAGGCATCTTGCAGAGGGACCCTGGGTTTTCCTCTTGTCAACATGGGAGCATTGATCCCGATCCGCAGAAGCCCGGCTCCACCCCTCCCCATCTAACTCACCTGGCCAGTGCAGTTAGGGGGAGCAACTTTTGGTAACAACAAGATGGAGTGTGCTTGTGTGTGTGAGAGTGCATGAGTGTGATGTATCACATGCATATGATAAATATTGATTGATCTATGTACGGTCAATAAACATGGCGTGTTGCCTTATCCCCCTGAAAAAGATCCCGGGTGCTTCTTTTAAGCACGACAGCTCCAGGGGATGTCGTTGGTCAGCACCAGGCTCCTTCAGGGGAAGGCAAGAGCGCATCGGGCCCAGGCGGGAGCTGTGCCCCCGCCCTGCCTGGGAAGCAGCCTGGCTTGGGGAACAGGGCCACCAGGCAGCCAGGCAGAGCCCCGGCCCCAACAGAACCAGGGACCCAAGCAGGCTGGGTGGCTCCCAGCAGCCTCCAATCCCCCGGCTCCTGGCAGGGGGCGACAGTTTTCAAACTGTGGGGTGCGCCCTCCACTGCACATCTCTGTGCAAATGGGGGAGCTGAGACCTGGGGGGCACGTGACCCTGTGTGTGCCCCTCCCCCCTCCAGGCATCACCTCTCGATAATCAGAATAACGAGTCTTCTGTGGGCCAAATCCCAAGGCATTTACCTCAGGAACCAGTCCCCAGGCGCTGACAATCAAGGTGGCGCTCTTGACTACAGGGTCCATCTGGCCCAGGATCCTGCCTCCCAACAGCAGCCAATGCCAGGTGCCCCAGAGGGAGTGAACAGAACTGGGAATCATCAAGTGATCCCTCCCCTGTCGCCCATTCCCGGACTGACAAACAGAGGCTAGGGTCATAATCCCTGCCCATCCTGGCTAATAGGCATTGATAGACCTAACCTCCATGAATTTATCTAGCTCTTTTTTTTGAACCCTGTTAAAGTCCTGGTCTTGGCAACGTCCTGTGGCAAGGAGTTCCACAGGTTGACTGTGCATTGCGTGAAGAAAACCTTCCTTTTCTTTGTTTTAAACTTGCTCCCTATTAATTTCATTTGGTGACCCCTAGTTCTTATGTTATGGGAAGGAGTAAATAACATCTTTATTCAGTTTTTCCACATTAGTTATGATGTTATAGACTTCTATCATATCATATCCCCTTGGGGCTGGGGGGAGAGAAGGCCACTTGGCAGCCAGTAGGAGGCTCAGGGATGGGGAGAAAAGGCCCCTGGCAGCAGTGGAGGGGAGGTTGGGAGGAGCAGAGAAGGCCCCCACACTTTGCCCTCACCCAGTGAGCAGCTCGGCCCTTCCCGCTCTGAGCCTGTGTGGTGCAGACGCTGGTGGCAGCATGAGCATGGATCAGGAGCAGAGTCCTGGCTGAGGAACTCCAGGGCCAGCCCCACCACTGCCTCTGCTCAGAGCTCTGTAAATGTCTCCCAGGTCCTGGGCAGAGGTCAGCCGGCCCCTGGGCTCCCCCATGCCTGCCTGTGGAGTTGTGGGGACCCACCCTCCCCACTAACCAGCCCAGCCCCTGTACTCAAGTCCTTCCCTGCACCCAGCTTATCACCCCCTTCCAGTCCTGCCCCGGCCAACAAATATCAGGTGCAATAATAGGACATGCAGCAGAAGGGACTTGCTGTGACATCAGCCTTTCCCAGCACAGATTCTCTCCACACCAGGAGTGAAGGGGGGGACACAGGGGTTACCTGACAGGTGTGACAGGCAGATGGGGTTCTAGGTGCAGGCTCCAGCAGGGCAATTGGATGCAGGGGTGCTCAGGGCTAGGGTAGGGACTTGGGGTGCAGGAGGGGGGCAGGGTTTCGGGATGTGGGCTCCAGGAGGGCCCTGCTTTCCTCAGGTGGCTCCTGGGTGGTGGTGCAGTGGGGCTAAGGCAGACTCACCCCTGCCCTGACCTTGCTCCGTTCCCAAAAGCAGCCAGCAAACTCCCCCCAAGACCTGTTGTGCCCCCTCTCTGCTCTTGGAGACAGGACACAGAGTGTGAGAGGGGGCACCCTGACATAAGCACCCTCCTCTCCCTCCCCTGCCCAGTAAGCAGGGGGCTCCTGAGGGGACAGTCCAAGGCAAAGGGCAGGAGGTGCACAGCAGTGCAGGGGAGCGGCAGCTGAAGTGCTGGCACTTGATCTCCTCTTGGTCAAACCCATCAGGATCATCCCTCAGAGGCTCCAAGATCGACCAGTCGATCCCGATCGACTGGTTGGTGACCACTGGGCTAGAGAAAGGCTCTGAGGCCCCGCTCCCACTTCCTTTACCCAGAGCTGGAGGGCTCCTCTTCCACTCCCCTGTGTGGCAGAGCCCCTCAACCACAACTAGGCTGGGCCCAGGACTCCTGGGGGGCTTGACACCCAACCTTGAGGTAATTTAGGGCAGGGGCTGGGTGTCCCCATTCTGGGGTCCTCTCCTCGTGAAACGAGGTGTACCGGTAGTTCGGAATAGGCACCCTAGTCCGAACTACCTAGTTCGAGCCCCGTGTAGCCGCGCTACACGGGGTTCGAAGCAGCGGGGATTTAAAAATGGCGGCTCCCCGCTTATGCTAATGAAGCCCGGGAAATTCAAATCCCGGGCTTCATTAGCAAGTGCGGTATGCATACATTACCCCGCTAGTTCGAACTAGCGGGGTAGTGTAGACATACCCCCAGAGCACAAGACCCCTCATTAGCCTACCTGGCCTGCCACACAGGCTGACGGGGAGCGCTGTCCTCTCCCCATCGCTCCTGGGGACAGTCAGTCACAAGGTCCTGATTTCTCATGGACCTTCCCCCTCCTTTTGGTACGGGGACCAGCCAGCCCAACCTGCCCTCAGGGTTTCCGCAGGGGGCCAACGCTGAACGTCCATTCCTCTGAGTTTCCCCATTTCTTGTTGTCCCGCCAGCCCAGCTCGACTTTTCCATGCCTACCAGATGCCCCCAGTCACAATAATACACCCAGTGCACCCGCTGCCTCCATGCTGCTAGCATCCAGGCATAGGGTTGCCAGGTGTCCGGTATTGACCCGGACAGTCCAGTATTTTTACCTCCTCTCTGGTAAAAAAAATTCAGAAAATATTAGATGCCTAAAATGTCCAGTATTTTCTGATCATTCTCCCCTGCCTAGAGGCGACAATACCAGGCACCTGGCAACCCTACTACACTCAGCAACCAGGCTCAGCCCCCGGGTCTCCCCCCGACCAGGGCTTCCCGCTTACGTGGTCCCACCGGGGAGCTGTCTTCTGGCTGGGGGCACCAAAACAAGATGGCCACTGGCCAAAAAAAAGCCTCAAAGGGCCTTAAAGGGGTCATGCTGGTTTTTTAATTTATTTTGTAGCTTACTAACTGTCAGGGTCCTCTCAGGGGTGGCTTTTTTTCCTCAACAAGTTTGGTCTCCCCCCTTTTTTTCCTCAACAGAATTTTTTTCCCTTGTTTTTTTTGGGGGGGGGGGGGGGGGGGGAACCCTATCCAGGCTGGCTCTTGCCTGCCTTAGCATAGGTGGGTCCCACTGAACGGTCAGCACAAAACGGCAGTCCCTGCCCTCGCAGGCCTCAAGTTAAGGTACGTTTTTCTCAAGCCCCCATTGGAGGAAAATAACCCAATTCCATGCACACTTACCTACAAGGGGGCTGATAAACTGCACCCTCATTGTGGCTGCTGCCTTCTCCTGCCAGGCAAGAAAACTGCACTGATTTTATCCTGTTCTCCTCAAGCAGAGGAAGTTTGCTGAGTGACACTGTTTTTTCTGCCACTTCTTTATCACGGTGTTTCAGCTCAGCGCTGTTCCTCTTGCAACAGACCTGTTCCTTCTGCCCAGGGTGATCTCTGGGCATCTAACACATGTTTATTAACAGTGTCCCCAAATAGCAGCCCTACTATTAACAAGAAACACAGGGGAAGTTGCAGTCTTGTCTATTTAGGAACTGAAAGTGGGGTGGGGAAGGTGGGTAGGGGGTTGGCCTTTGCATGGGTCTAGGAAACAGGATGCCTGGGTCTCTTCCTAGCTGGGGGGGTAGGAGAGAGTGATCTAATAGGTAGAGCAGGAAAGGAGAATTGGAACACCTGGGTTCTCTTCCTAAGGCAGCACCACTCAGTGGTTAGATAACAGGCATCAATATTCAGTCTCAAGAAAGAAACGTCCATTTGATGGAGGACTTCATGACTTCAAAATTTGTTTTCATTCCACTGAGGAATTAAACTTCCAAAATTCTCTGTGAAAAAAAAAGTCAGAGGGGAAAAAAAACGGTTTTGGGGTTGAGCGAAATGTTGCCTTTCAGTACGGGCTTTTCATCTCCCTTGAGCCTTTGAAAATGTGACCTGGCATGACACCGCAGCCTGTCACATCAACGCAAACGTCAGAAGGCGAGTCCATTTGGAAAAGAAAACTCGCACCGTCTGGCTCCGAGCACGTTAAAAACGAGACCTTGTCGGAACTTCCTTCTTCCCTGGCCCAAGACAAAAGTGCAGCAGAGTCCAAACGCTTCCGTTCCGAGGGAGCTGTCCCGTTCAGTTCTTCCTTGGATTCTAGTCCAAGGCAAGGAGGGAGGCTGGGAACAGGGTGGTGTGATAATTTGTGTACGGTGTGTGAATAGGGTGCTGTGGCCCGGGGCTCTGGTTCCGCAGGCTGCTTCCCCAGGAGGGCAGGGGACAGGCCACCTAGGATACCCTCAGATACTGGCACCAGCAGTAGCCTCCTCCTCTTCTCCTGCAGGCTGGTGCCTCCACTGGGCGAGGTGGCTGCATCCACCATGCACAGCCTGCAGCGTCGGGAGATGCCTCAGGTAGAACACACCACCTGGGCAGGAGGGACCAATAATAAAGTCCGGGGCCATGTGCGGGGGGAACTGACTGCACACACCTCCCTCTGGCCCTGCCTGGCATCTCTTCCCAGTTTTAGGAGGGGAGTAGTACCTAGTGGGGAGAGCACATGGTTGGGACTCAGGGAAAGGAGCCCAGAAGCCCCGCTGTGGGAATATAGTTATCTGAGTGGGTCTCTTGGGGTGTGTTCCTAACGCCGAGAGCATGATCGAGAGATCTCACGATGAGATTGGGACTCAAGTGGTTTACTTGTTAGTCTCATCTCAGCCACTAGCTTGCTGCGTGGGGCAAGTCGCCACTACTCTGTGCCTCAGTTTCCCTCGCTGTGAAATGGGGCAATACTAACTGAGAACAGTGTTCTGATGTCTTTGGCTGCGAGGCACCAATATAACAGCATGGCTGGGGTGTTGTCTTGCCTGAGCAAAGAGAAGGCTCTGTGGATGCAGCCAGAGCTAAGGGAAACGGGGGACAGCAATGGACAGGGGAGGGCCTGGTGCGGCAAAGCCCTGCACGCAGGGTGTGGATTCCAGGGGAGGGGCGGCTGAATGGCGTTGTAGCTCGGAAGCCTGTGGTTCCTCAGGGACATTTTCCACCATCATTGGGCTTCTCTCTGAGGACACGTTGCTAAGAGCAGACTCCACAGATCGCTGCATTCTGTGCCCAGCTGCGTATGGCCTGGCTAGTCTGGAGGGCGACACCTGCGAGATGTGAGTGCTACCGGCCCCGGAGAGCCAGACTGGGGGCTGAGCAGGCAGGAAGCTGTGAGGCAGGTGACAGGATGGGGAGCAGTCCCTGGAGGTGCAGGCACAGCCAAGAAAATGGCCATTGCAATTGGGTTCAGTCCTGGAAGGCAGGTCCGGCCCCGGTTTTTCTCTGCTGGGGAAGGGGGAACCAATTCTGTAAAGACCGTGTGCAGAGCCAGGATCAGGCCAGGAGGGGACCAAGAGGTCAGCAGAGCTAGAGCAAGAAGCTTCCCCGCACCCGTGAGACTGGGGAAGTTGACAACACAGGGAGCGTCCCACTTAAGAAATGTGCTGAGTTGGTCACAGGCGCAGCATTTCCCCTGGGTCACGGGCCGAGACGTGGAACGGAAGCAGCTTGCACAAGGGGCAGGATGGGCTCAGGGCTCAGCCACGGCCTCCAGCCTGCAGACACTTGGGCTGTATTCCTGGCACTGCTGCATGACCTTCGGCAGGTCTGTGCCACTCTGTGACTCAGTTTCCCCATCTGTAAAATGGGGACTAGTGGGCCCTGACTTGCTTTGAAATAGAAAGTGCCACATGCACCCTAGGA